GAATGAGTTCCAGGACAGCCAGGGCTACACAGAGAAACCCCCGTCTCAAAAAAGAACCGATGGAGAATTATGTAGAAGCTGAACAAGTGTCCTGAGTAGTTACAGCAGCATCACAGAGTTCACGTGGTGAGGTTGCCTGGCCCGGTGATGAAGGGATATGGTTTGAGTCCCAGCTTTCCGCTGATGTGGTCTAGGACTGTTTACCATTTGTTGACATGACCTTGTAGTTCATTTCCTTATTTAATTTTACTTATTTGTAAAATGATCTTAGGCAAGGTATATGCACATGGGTGCAGATGACAGAAGAGGGCACCTTGGAGGCCAGAAGAGAGCATCAGATTTCCTGGAGCTGGCACAACAGGTGGTTGTGAATGATGGACATGGGTGTTGAGAACCAAACTCTAATCTACAAGAGCACCACATACTCCTAACTGCTGAGCCATCAATGCAGCCCTTAATTGTTCTGGTGTTTGTTTGGTTTTTAAGAGTCTCATACTGTAGCTGAGGATAGTCTGGAACTCACTATGTAGCCTAGGCTGGTCTCCCACTCATGGTAATCCTCTTGCCTCCACCTCCCAATTGTTGGGATCACAAGTTGAGGCACCACGTTGGGCCATCATTAAATTTTTTTTTTAAGCTCAAGAACAATTTTTTTAGTTTGAGAAAAACAACAACAGAGTAGACCGTCTGAGAACCTGAACAGCTGCCAGGAGGAAGGGAATGAGGAGGAAGAGAGAAAGCCATGCCTATTGCAACAGAAGTCAGCAGGTTAGTTCCGGAACAGAAGGATGCTTTCAAGTCACCATTGTAGTTAATGCTGTGGGTTTGAGAGGGTGGTAAAATTTTTGTCAGGGTACAGGAAGTCCAAGATTCATTGCTTTGTTGTTGTTGTTGTTGTTGTTTTTTAAACCTTGGGCAAGCAGTTATTTCCTTCAGAGCTCTGTGAGTTAACCTGAACAGATTTAGCATAATAGTATACACTCAGCGGCTTATCTCTCACTATTGATAGTAGTTTGATAAAAGGGTAAAATACGCACTGGGAAGATGGCTTAGTTAATAAACTACTTACTGAACAAGGGTGAGGAACTGAGTCCAATGCTCCAGAATCTGTGTTAGAAAAAACAAAAGGTACATGGAGGGGTGGGGGGAGGAGGCAGGTATGCCACATGTACCTGTAATACCAGCCCTTGGTCAGCTCCAGGTTCAGTGAGAGACCCTGCCTCAAATAATTAGATGGAGAGTGGTAGAGGAAGACACCTGATGCTGACCTCTGGCCTCCATATGATGCACAGACCTGCACACATGTGCATACACAAATACATACACACCGAGAAGGGAAAACATACGTAAAAATAAAACTTAGCAATTACAAGCCTTACTCCACAAACTCAGACGAGCAGAAATGTAGCTTCACTTTCCTCCATGACTTCAAGCCCTTCTCCTGCCCAGAGGGTGGAAATTTGAACTTCTGAGTCTCCAGCTCTCTTAATTTTCCCTATGGTGGTGCCAAGGCATGTGGGGTGAGGTGCCTCTGGGTTTCAGTCTACACAGTAGGAACAGGGCATGTGCCAGGTCTGGCCTCAGGAATCCGCTTGGCCGACCCCCATTTCTGGCACACCTTCTTCCCTCAAATGCTATTCTGAGTTGTGGCACGAGCTTACTTCTCCTCCTTGGCCTCTCACAAGCATTTTATCTGAACCACAGATTCTCAAGGTTTCCTCAAGGGAGCTGAGCGTTTGACTCAAGAGCTAGTGCTAGGCCAACAACAGCAGCGTCCTCTCACCCTAGTTACAGCTCTCCTGAAGCCACGGGCCTTCCTCAGAGACGGTTCTGCCTAACAGGAAGGAAAAGAAAAGAAACACACACACACACACACACACACACACACACACACACACACACGGAAAATCACAGTGGGTTATTACCTTAAAAACATCCTGGAGCCAGCAGTGAAACTCAGTTTAGAGAGCTTGTGCTGGACATGCACGAAGGCATGGGTTCCAGCCCAGTACCACAGAAAAATTGATGCGGCAGCATGTACCCATAATCCTAGCACTGTGTAGATGGAGGCAGGAGGATCAGAATTTCAAGATCATCCTCAGCTACATAGTTCAAGACCAGCTTGGTCTACATGAAACTGGTACAGAAAACAATATATATACATATATACAGAAAACAAATATATATACACATAATTTTAAAAGTACAAGCATTTATTTATTTTGTGTGTTGGGGCACATGCACACATGCAACAGGTCTCAGGAAGTCCATATATCCAGAAAGGAGCTCAAGCTGGACTGGATAAAAAGCCAGCATTCTCCAGGAACTTGCGAAATAGTTCACCAAAGGAGTCACTCCCCCTACCCCCCAAAAAGGAGTCTTCCCTTCCCTCACCCCACTCCAAAAAAGGAACATATGGCTTTCCCTTGACATACACCTGTGGCTGCATATCAAAGCCCATGCTGGCCTCCAGGCTCCCTCAGTCCCTCTTCACAAGTTCCTGTTACCCATTTCCCAGCTCCCAGGCCTCCTGGCCCTCCTAGTCTCAGAGCCTTGCTTTCTCTGCTGCCCCTCCCCGTTGCTATTCTCACTATTCCCTGTCCTTCTATTCTCCCTCTCCTGCCATCTCCACTATTCTTTCCCTAGGCCTGGCTACGCCCAGTCTACTGCTTTTTTCTCTCTGCTCTGGACTCTTCTAGATGCCTCTAGACATTCTCTCTCTCTTTGTTAATTCCACCAGGGGAGAGTAAGACCACTACCACAATCTTTGAGCCAAATTTGAAGCAGGCTTTATTAAATACTGGCCAGAACGATGGATATCCAGGTCTATACCCCGGATTCCCACAGAATGGCCACAAATTACACCAGTCAAGTGCTTTTATAAAGGCAAAACCACAAGGCTATGTACTTCCCGCCTTCATACAACTGGGGGCAAGCATACATCCTGACGTACTTCCTGCCTATGTACCTCCTGTCTACATGTGATCAAACACATCCTGTGCAGTTGGAGCAATGAACCTGTTTACTGGGTGAAAATTTGACTTGTTATCTTACGTGGACAACGGTCCCTAGAATTCCAGGAAATTATCTGTCCTCTGGCAAGTGGGGCTTACAGATTAGAGGCATTTTTGTTTTATAGATCTCTTAAGCACAGTAACAAAACATAACTTTAGTCCTCACATTATATCTATAATAAAAACTGAGTGGCCTTTACTTTACTGCACATCCTTTGCATACAATATAGAAGTCAGAGGACAACTTGCAGGAATTCTTTCTCTCCTTCTTTACCAGCCAATCCCTAATATTTTGGGTTTTAATGAACTGGTCCATGCAGAACCCTGTGTTTGGACCTCAGGAACTGAGTCTTGTTAAAAACAAAACAAAACAAACAAACAAAAACAAAAACACTGCCTAGTTTTCACTCTGCATTAGCCTAAGCTGTTAGACAAGGGAACCCAGTGGAGAACTGGTTACCTCTCCAAGGAGGCTGGGATGTGGTGGTCAGGGCTTCTGGTGGAAGACTTGTGCAAAGACTTCCATGCCTGAACTGAGGAGTTGACTGATGTTCATGCCACATGCCCAGAAGATGTTCTATGTGAATGAAAGAAAGATGTTCTGTGTGAATGAATGAATGAATGAATGAATGAATGAATGAAAGAAAGAAAGAAGAAAGAAAGAAACAAAGAAAGAAAGAAAAAGAAGAAAGGAAGGAAGAAAGAAAGAAAGAAAAAGAAGAAAGGAAGGAAGGAAGGAAGGAAGGAAGGAAGGAAGAAAGAAAGAAAGAAAGAAAGAAAGAA